CAGCCAGAATTTCAGCAATTAAGATTTTGTCATATTTTTTCTTTACAGAAATGATTATTTCCCTTTGATCACCTCTTCCAGTGTCATCCTCCTCCCTCCGTTTCATGCATCTATAGGTATGTATAGACAACATATAGATTTGTTTTGGATCTCTGTTTTAACTTACATAAATGGTGGTATTATGAATGTGTCTATGTGTTTTGTCCACACAGTAAAATGTCATAGACCTTTTCATATATTTTGTATTAATCTTTCCATACTGTATATTGTATTAGTCATTATATATAACATAATATTTTTGGCTGTCTGCCTTCTGGGCATATGGTAGGATTGTAGTTCCTGCCCCTTTGGAAGTTAGGTGTGGCCATGTGACTTGCTTAGGTCAATGAAATGTCAACAGTATAATGGGTACACTTCCAGATGGAGATTTTAAGAGCCAATATGAAATTTACTGCCTTTCATGTCCCTGGCAAATAGAGATGGGTCCTCTGTCAGCCTGGGTCTGAGAATAACTACATTTAGCTTTTTTGCCAACTCACTTGAAACATGTAGCATAAGGAATAAATCGACTTTGATTGTGTTAAGCTCAGATTTTAGGTTCCTTTTGTTACTTTGGCAAACTTAGCCCATCCTGTTTGGTAAGTAGACCTACATCATTGTTTTCAGTGGCTGTAAAGTATCCCAGGTGTGAATTGACCTTATTCTGTCTAGCCACTCTCCTATTGACAAAAGCCTAAGTACTTCCTGAATTTTGCTTTTATAAAAAATTCTGTATTGGTAATTATGTAAGTTTGTGAGAGTTTCTCCAAGATATGTATCTAGAAATGAGATTGCTGGGTCACAAGGTATAGATGTTTTCAGTTTTATATCATTTTGCTACCCAAAATGACCGTACCAATTTACATTCTCACCCTTCTAGCTGTCATTTGTGTGACATGATTCCCAAACCTTTTTGTAATCTTGGTTCCCGTCTCTGGATTCACTTTTGTTAGTCATTGTTTCTCTGTAATACCCAGACTGGAACTTCATTGTTCCAACTGAGGTAGATGGTATGTTCTGAATTCAGCCCAAATTGAGTAGCTGCATCACCCCGTGTGGTATTTGCTGGCATCAAAAACTGAACTGCTGTCACCCTGCATTCAGGAAATAAGAGTTTTTAAAATTGCAGGGGCTCTACATACATTCTAGTGAAATTTCATCCTGGTTTTTTTCTTATCATAATAGCTTTTGAATTCTCCCCTTTCTTCTGATAACTGACCTAGGAGGGGTAACATTCATCAGAGGTCAGACCCCTCCTAGGTCAGTAACCTAGTAGGTTCATCTACGTTACTGATCAGAGTTTTGATCAGAACAGGGCCAAGGACGTAGCTGTGTGTCCCCCCACAAGACACCTTTCAGGTTTACCTGTCTGCAGCTGCAGGTCTTCATCCTACCAACTGGACAATCCTGATGGCCTTTGTCAGCTACCTGCACATATACTGTACTTACAAAGATTTATCTCAATGAATGCATCAAGCGACTGGAACAGAAAGGCATCTAGGGTAAGTTGAGTGTGTCCTGATTTTGAAGAACCCATGCTAGCTGGTAGTGACTATTTCTTATCCAGCCAGTGCTTCATTAATTTGGTCTACAATGGAGTTTGGAGTGCAATTCACACTTTTTATTTGTAATGATGATATTCCACGCCTTTGAAAATAAGGGAGATTTTTGTCTCTCTCCAGTCTGTTGAGAGGTCTGGGTTCTGTGAGTTTTCATAGATGAGAGGAAGTGATTCTGCTGTCACAGGTGCAAATAGTTTTTTAGCCCTGTGGTGAGGAACAGGGTGGTCTTTAGGATTATGACTAGCCAGGATGCCTGTGCTCCACTCCCCAGCCAGAGTGTCTTCTCCCTGCACCACCAGAACCAAGCCTGTGCATAGTTTAAGGAACGATGAGGATTCCTCAGGCCAGTTAGCTCAGGTCATTACAAGTTAGGCTTGCTGATGGTCTTTCTGTTGTTCTTTGGGACCACCTACATGTCTAATCCCAGTTATTATTTTTGTATTGGGATTCTTAGTTACATGTGTCAGAATCCCAGCTCAACAAGAAACAAAAAGAAAGTTTATTGGTAAATGAATAGCGCATGGATTGCTGCTTGTAGGTATGGCTATATCCTCATCGCAGCCCTGAATCTCCTTCTCTCAGCTTTGCTTTCCTCTGAGTTAGTTTCACTCCCAGACAGGCTGTCTGCAGCAGGTGCAGTGCCTCTTTCCCAATACTGTCAAAACCCTTGGATGACCTGTTGGTATAGCCTGGGTCCTTGTGCCTCAGACCCAGAAGGTGTGTATTTGCTAGGGAGGGAGGGACAGAGTTGCCCTCCCACAGACCACATGGACTGAGCATGAACCCTCGTTCATACTTTCATACATTTACTGAATGCCCACTATGTGATAAGTACCCTGTTAGGCTCAGAGGTTATCACTGTGAATAACACAGGCATAGTCTCTGCCTTCTTGAAGTGGGTAAGTGTAAAAAAAAATGGACTTTAATGTGCTCACAGTGATAGAGGAGAAGTTCCTGGTGCTGGAAAGCAAATGACAGGGGTCCTGATATACTCTGGGCAGGTGAGGAAAGGCTGTCCTGAGGAGTGTCGTTTGGACTGAAATCTGACATGAATAGGAATTAGATGTTGAAGTAGGTAGGGTGATGATGAACAATGGGTGGGTAAGGGGGTGAACAGTATGTGCAGAGCCTTGGAAATAGAAGGAGGAAGCATATTCCAGGCACTGAAATGAGGCCAGAATGGCTGGATCACAGAGAGTGAAGGGGCAGAGAGGCATAGGAAATAGGTTGGCACCACCTCTAGCAAGGCCATATGCCTTGCAAGAGGTTTGGAAGCCATGCAAAGTTTAAGCAGGGAATCAAAGTGATCAATAGCCCTGGTCCATGCGGGTCACTCATTTCCTGAGATATAGCTTAGTCTAGTGAATCACCCAGCTGGTTGGGATTTAAATCTAGATATACCACAACATCTGTCATGTGTCCAGACCTGGCTCAGGCATTGCCTCTCCCAAGAAGCAGTCCTCATTGCCCCTTCCTTTTTGCCACTGGGAGAAGGTAGGTGTTTCTCCATTCCTGTTCCACTTAGTATCTTGCTCAGAGAACTCTCATGATTTTGTTTCCCCCATCCACGTCTGGACAGGATTTGTTGGTGCCTGCCCAGGCTAATGATTGGCATCTGTGCAAAAAAGTCTCATAGCAGACCTGACTTTGAAAGGCCTGCTTACAGGGTTGTCCCTTGGTGGGCATCTGGGAACTTGATTTTCAGGAGGGTTCCCACCATTCCCAGAACTGATTGATAAAGGTGGCTCATTGTGCCTGAACTGTTTATACAAACAATGTAGTTTCTGCAGAACACCTGCTTTCCTTCTTGGGAGTCTGGAATTTGGGTATTTGCCAGTCAGAGGGTGCCTATGTAACCAGCCTCCAATCAAAACCTGGGTCCTGAGTCCCTAATGAGCTTCCCTAGTAGACAGCGTTTCACATGTGTTGTCACAACTCGTTGCTAGGGAGATTAAGTGCATCCTTGTGTAACTCCACTGGGAGAGGACTCTGGGAAGCTCGTGCCTGATCTCCCCTGTATTTCATCTAGTGTGCATTTTCCCTTTGCTGATTTTGCTTTGTATCCTTTCACTGTGATAAATTATAGCCAAGAGTATGATTATATGCTGAGTTCTGTGGGTCCTCCTAGTGAATCATTGAAGTTGGAGGTGGTCTTAGGGACCCTGACATAGCACCCGTGCAAACCATTGTTAAATATTTGTTCAATACTTATTAAAAGGAGAGAGTGAGCCTAGTGAAGAACCAGGGCAAAGAAAGGAGCTCTCTGGTGGTATCAGTGACTCACCTCTCCTTTTGAGCAGTCAGCTTTGGCCCTAAACTTGTACTCTCCACTTACTAAATCACAGCCCTACAGGGGCCTACAAAGAAATCTGTGAGCACTGGGGAGCAATGGAAGGGTTTTACACTAAGGGCTGTCACAGTCAGATTTGCATTTTGGAAAGAATAAATGCCCAAGAATCATCAGGAAATTTTGTGAGGAGAGTTTGTTCTACCAGCTTAAAATTTACTACAAAGCGACTATAATAAAAATAGTGTGGTAATGAACTAGAAATTTGAGCTAACACCCAGGTTTCCCACATTCCAGCCCAAGGTCTTTCATCAAATCCTTATGGAATTATTTGATGAGTCCTATAAGAGTGAACATCTGAGACTCAGTTCCCTCTCAGCTTTACTTCTGAGAAAGGTCCATGCAAAAATGGGCATCATTTACATTGTCTGCAACAGAACCTTCTGAACCTGGTTGTAATGCTGTCAACTGTCAAAGTAGAAATATGGGGTTCTGAATTCAGAACCTGGGAAAAACAGTAAATAAACTAAGAACCTTTTACCAGTCTCCTGTGCATTACTGATATTTTAAACACTGCATATAAATAGCTTAGGAGCAGTTTTGGCACTTTTGATTTTTATAGTTTTTCAGTTGGTGGAAATGAAATATTCCTGTTTCCACAGTCTGCCACCATTGTTTTGTCTCTCTTTGCATGTCAGGGATGATGTTTCCTGAGGGACAGCTTAATTAGACCACGCAATAATCTGCTTGGGGAAATAGAGAAAATCAGTTATTTAAAACACACTGGATGAAAGATCTTATAAAAAAAAAAAAGACCTTTGAAAGAGGAAAACATCCTGTACTGAGGGAACAGAGGTGGGATGATGGAGTTTTGCTGTCCCTGTTTTGCATTTCTAACAGTAAACTTGAAAGCACAGGATCTTCTGACCATTGGAGCTGAAATTATGTATTCAGTGTTTCTCATGAAATAACATTTACCATTAAAAGAAGATTGCATTTATACTTGTCTTGGGTAATTCTAAAAATTTCTATGCAGAAAATTCTAAAAATTTTAACGTGGAAAATTCACCAGCTCAAGACCCACACAAGCACACAAAAGCATTACATTGATTACATGTCTGTGTATTGGCTGATTCCTGAAATGGTGTCTCAGAAGGATTAAAATTGAACCTCTGTTCTGAGCACGTGGTGTTGACTGTAGCCTGGGAGTGTGCCAGTTAGTCGCAGCACCTGCGCCTCCTCGCAGGGTCCTGTTGCGGCTGCCCAGGAAGATGGAGGGTAATTGCCTCACCACTCCAGCCACACATGCAGGGTTAGGAATCCTGCTTATGAGGCTTCTCCTGCTCTGACCAGAAAGAGACCCAGGGTGTCTAGCCAGCTGGCTGCAACTCTGGGGCAGGAAAAGCAGAAGAAACGAGGATAAAATCAAGCCCCCTCCCCCAACCCACGTGTGATAATAATGATTAGACGCCTTTTCATCAACAGCCTTCCCTTGCATTAAATGACATTCAGGAATCCTGGGTGTGATGGCCTATTTGCAGTGTGCAAATGGAACATGGGAAGAGGGTGCTCAGATCTGACCTAGAAATTTGAGATGTAGCTGGAGAGACCTAATACCCCCCTGGGGACTCACAGGCTAATTACCTTGAGTCTGGTAAGTGGAATACAACTCCTAAAGGAAACTAGGTGTTTTGAACTAAGAAATTATGTATATGTTTAAGCAAGGCTTTGTGTATTTCTTTTCTTTGTTTATTATAAGTCCTCAAAAGTTTGTAAGAATTGAGATTCTCCAGAGTGTGTGAGGGCTTTGAAGCCAAAGGAAGGTGTCTTTTCTTTTTTTACTTATTTTTGTTCATGAGCAAAATTCTGGAGTATTAGGTTGAATGATATGAAATTGCTAATACTCAAAACATTTTGGCCTACAACAATGGCAATTTCATGCAGATCAACCAAATATAAACTAATTTCACCACACAGATGCTTTGAAAATATTCCCAGTTTATTATTGTGTCAATCTTAACTTCATCAGAGGGGCAAGGATCTCATAAATTCTTAGAGTCTTTATTGTTTATAATAACTTGTGACATATCCATCACCTATCAGACTAGTGGGCTTTTTTTTTTTTAGCAATTCTAAGGTATAATTGATACACAAAAACTGCATATATTCAGTGTATACAACTTGATGAGTTTGGATATATACATATACCTGTGAAACCATCACCACAATCAAGGTAATAGACATATCCATTACCTCCAAAAGTTTCCTTGTTCTCTTCTTTTGTGTTATAACACTTAACATGAGATCTACCCTCTTAACTCCTTAAGTGTACAATATAGTATTTTTAATAGGCACTATGTTGTACAGCAGATCTCTAGAATTTATTCATCTTATATAACAAACTTTATACTCATTGAACAGTAATTCCCCATTTCCCCTTCCTCTCAGCCCCTGGCAACCACCATTCTGCTCTCTGTTTCTATGAGTTTGACTACTGTAGATAGCCCCATATAAGTGGAATCATGCAGTATTTCCTTCTGTGACTGGCTTATTTCACTTAGCATAATGTCCTCCAGGGTCATCCTTGTTGTTGCAAATGGTAGGATTCCCTTCTTTTTAAAGGTTGAATAATATTCCATTGTATGTATATGCCACATTTTCTGTACCCACTCATCTGTCAGTGGACATTTGGGTTGTTTCCGTATCTTGACTCTTACACATAATGCTGCATGGGTGTGCAGATATCTCTTCAAGATCCTGACTTCTGTTCTTTTGGATATTTATGGCCAGCAGGTATATGAAAAGGTGCTCAACATCACTAATCAACAGGGAAATGAAAATCAGGACCATAATGGGCTATCACCTCACACCTGTTAGGATGGCTATTATATATATTTTTAAAAGATAAGTGTTGGTGAGGATGTGGAGAAATAGAACCCTTGTACATTGTTGGTAGGAATGTAAAATGTTGCAGCCACTATGGAAAGCAGTATGGAAATCATAAAAAAATTAAAAATAGAACTACTAAATGATCCAGCAATGTCACTTCTAGGTATATATCTAGAAGTAGTGTTTGTTTTTAACTTGTATATTTTGAGAGAGAAACCCAGAGAAGTCCAGAACTCCCAAGGCCTGCTGTCTTAAATACAATGACACAGTGATACATGGTCTAGGTAGACTAGAATAGCCTGGAATTTTTAGTTCGTTTCTGGCTCAGTACCTGATTGACTAGGCCTTCTTAGGCAGTCAGTAAGCATGACTACAAATCAATTGCTATTCCAGTGTTTCCTGACTTTATCCTCAAAATGCATGTTGAAGGCTAGCTACTTATTCCCTTGCTTAAAATGTTTTTGGAGCTCTCCTTTTTGGAATTACCTTCAGAGCCATTTCATAAGCCACCCAAGGAATTGATTCATTCAATAAATATTTATTTGAGTCACATACAGTGGTGGGCCGTGTATTGGGTATAGAGACAGATGACATGGACATAGAGGGCAGTCCAGGGGAGGAGTATGAACAGATGCATGGATGCAAGAAAGCACCAGGACATGTGAGTGGGGAGCAGTGAGGGACTTAGCTTCCCTAGAGAAGAGACTGTGCAAGGAAAATAAGACTGGAAAGGTGAGCTGTGGCTACACTGTGGAGTGCCTTGAATACTAGGCCTAGGAGTTTGAAATCAGTGCTGTGAGCAGTAGGGAGCCATTGAAGGTTTTGTGCTTTTCGAGTTTTAACCTGCCAGCTAATAACTGTAGAATTGGAATTATAAATCAGCCTTGCAATTTCTTTTCCCAGCTTGTGACTGACTAAAACTGGTTTTACACACCTCAATTGCATATTCACTTGAATGGACTTTGAATGATATTTGATTGTTTCCAAAAATTAAATTCGTTCTCAAAGGAAAAATTTTGCTTCCATTGACCTTATTCAAAGGAATATAATGCCAAAGGAACAGAAAGCAAATCCAAGCAAAAAATGTCCTAAGTATTTTGAGAAATTGCACTGTTGGAACAAACATTTGCTGTCTCAGAGGGTCTCTTGGAAGTCAGCCTGGAAGTCAGCCTATAATTGGATGTGTGAATTCTGGGGTGTGTGTGTGTGTGTGTATGTGTGTAATTAATATTATTTATTTGACAGAGAGAGAGACAGCGAGAGGGGGAACACAAGCAGGGGCAGTGGGAGAGGGAGAAGCAGGCTCCCCGCTGAGCAGGGAGCCCGATGTGGGGCTCGATCCCAGGACCCTGGGATCGTGACCTGAGCCGAAGGCAGACGCATAACGACTGAGCCACCCAGGTGCCCCTGTAATTAATTTTTTGAATTGGTATCTGCCCTTCCTTTACTGAAGTGCACCAAAGGGTAACACTGGGGCAAATAAGGGGGCACCTGAGTGGCTCAGTCGGTTAAGTGTCCAGCTCTTGATTTTGGCCCAGGTCATGATCTCAGGGTCCTGGTCAGCAGGGAGTATGCTTGTCTCCCTCTCCCTCTGCCCCTCCCTGTGCTTGTGCTTTCTCTGTCTCTCAAATAAATAAATAAATAAATATTTTTTTAAAAAGAGGATGGGGATTATAGCTAAAAAGAACAGGCATTCTAATAGCAATAATTTCTCTCATTAGTGATGCGTGAGATGTTTTACTCTGACATTCTAGTTAACTGATTCACTGCTGATTGCAGGTGCCACTTACCTCTAGCCTGAGGAGGTACTTTATGGCTGTCTTGGCATCAGGTAAGATGAGAGTCTTACAGGTGGAGTGATGTTTGTTATTTGTATGGCTGCTATTACAGATTTCTTCTTTTGGGTCAGCTCTTTGACCCCTCTGTGATTGTGGCATTAGCTTGAGTGCCCTTCTCAGTAGAGGCCAGCAGTAGTTCCTGCTCTGGAGAATCATTCAGCGTCTGAAGTGATTCAGTATAGTAGGTCTGAAGTGTGTGATGAAATTTCCATGGTACAGTTTATCATTAAAAACTGCCTTCTAAATTCTGTCAGTTAACTATTGCTGTATATCTAATCACTTCAAAAGTTAGTGGCTCAAAATAGTAATATTTAGTTCATTTTTCCAAGAGTTGGCTATTTGGGCTGGGTTCAGCTGAGTGGTTTTGCTGTTCTTAGCTGGTCTCCCTTATGCCTTTGTCAACTACAGGTCAGCAGGGAGCTTCTGCTTTTGAGGTTGGCTGGTCAGCTGGGGCAATGGTAGTGGGTAGGAGCCCTGGGCTTTACATCTCTTCTCCTGAAGCAAGCTAGCCCGGCTTGTCTTCATGGTAGCTGGGCAGATTTCTAAAAGTGAGTAGAAGCAGCAAGGCCTCTTGAGGCCAAGGCTCAGAATCGGCACACCTTCGCCTCTGCTGTATTCTGTTGCCCTAAGCAAGTTACAAAGCCTAGTCTAGATTCAAGGAGTGAGAAGAAGCTTCAAAGTCACATTGAAAGGGCATAAATAAAGAAAAGGGTAGAGAATTGGGGCCATTTTTGCTATTTATTACACAAATACAAATTACTCTTCTTAAAGACTTCAGTTATTTCTGTAACATTTAAAAACTCATGTGTTCTGTATGTTCAGACTTAAAGGCTGCTCAGAAACAAATAGGAAAGTATTAAAATTGCTCACAAGTCAGGGCCTTGATGACAGTCCTTTTGTGAAGCTGATTTTTTTTTTTTTTTTTTGAAACTTGGATGCTCTGATACCTGAATGTGCCTCACATTTTAGAGTCATTAATTCTGGATCCTTTGTACTAAATGATGTGAAGACCATAAATGCAGGTTTAAAACATAGCTGCAGATTTTTTGACACTACTCTCATCAGGAGACAGGGCCTGTGTGTTCTTCCAGTTAGATCTGGGTTGACTTGTGACTGCTTCAACCAATACAGTAGAGTATACGACTTCTGAGGCTAAGTCATAAAAGGCAATGCAACTTCTGCCTTGTTCACTAGAATATTCATGCTGGGACCCCTGAGCTGCCATGTAAGTAGTCTGACTACCCTGAAGCCACGTCTGCTGGAGAGGTCTTATATGGGCATGCTGGAGATGGTATCTGCTAAGCCAAATCATTCCTATTAAAGGTGCCAGATAAGTGAAGAAGCCTCCAGATGATTCCAGCTGTTTGTCTTCCCAGCTGAGATTCCAGACAACTTAAGAGTAGAAAAAAGCCATTCCTGCCATGCCTTATCTGAACTCCTGACCCACAGAATTCATGAGGTGATAAAATGGTGGTTGCTTTATGCCACTCTGTTTTTTTTGTTTTTTTTTGTTTTATTTTTTTTATTCTTATGTTAATCCTCATACATTACATCATTAGTTTTAGATGAAGTGTTCCATGATTCATTGTTTGCGCATAACACCCAGTGCTCCATGCAGAATGTGCCCTCCTCAATACCCACCACCAGGCTAACCCATCCTCCCACCCCCCTCCCC